CACTTAGTTTGTCTAAACACTGACAGTTATGTCATGCAAAATGCTTTGAAATACAGCATGTTGTATCACAAATTTCTCTTAGAAGCAATTATTCTAAGCAATGTGACTGTCAAAGTGAGCAAATACATTCACAAGACTTAGCTGCCACCAGATGTCCTCCTTTTCATACTACATAGATTCAAAAACTGTCATTTGGATTGTAATTGTTATAGCAGATGAAATGTCTAAAGATTCTGTCTCGAAAGTTAACCGCCTGAAAGCCATTTTCCAACCTGTATCACTTCTTCCAAGCTAGGTCATTCTTTCAAATTGAAGGTAACTCTAAGGCTGAGACAACAATTTATTTGGATTTCTGACCCAAATGCTTTCCCTAAGTTCTTTTTATTTTTAACCTTAAAAGGTACCTAATATTAACTAGTATTTTCTTTGAATATCACTTGAATCACCTGCCATATACAATTCCCACACCAACATCTTTGGCTTAATTACTTGGTATTTCTTTGGTAGTTATTTCAGCTAAAAGAGAAATAGTAAGTGAAACGACAAGTGTGAAACATCACAGGTTACTAAAATAATGGTTTAACTATTACATTTGTTTCTTCAAATATTTTCTGTACCCTAATTCACTCAGAAATCTGTTTTAAAATTCTACCTAATAAAAGAGTAATATGTAAATTAACTACCACTCTGCTTTACCCAAAGCCACGCCCACCATCCAATCAGAGTGAGTATGCAAATCAATCTGGACCAAGATGGCTGCCACCACAGAGAGTAGGAGGAAGACCACCTGCTCTCCCTGCACTGGGTTTTAAGCCTGCAACCTGGGCATGTTTCCTGACCAGGAATCGAACCGTGACCTCCTGGTTCATGGTTCATAGGTGGAGGACGATCATCCACTGAGCCATACTAGCCGGGCTTCATTTCCATTTTTTCCACCACCAGAACACCCTCCCTTTCTCCAAAAATACACACATAAATACATAGTAGATATTTTCAATCTAAACTGTAAACCTCAGGCTCACATGAAAACAAAATGATTTTAACCACACAAATTCCAGCATTCAGACTTGTAATTTCAACACGCTGCCCACACAGCATTTTGTGAGCATGTGATTAGGAGGAATGATGCACAATCACACCACATTCCGTCCCTCAGCTCACACATCAAGAACTTGCCCTCTCAGCTGCATTCTTCTCCAAACAGCCATGGTCACCTTAGCAACCCTACGCTCCTAATATGGACAGCTGGTCCATTTAAAGGCAGCCCTTCTTGGCAGGGAAAGTGCTTGTTCTTCACATTGGGGGAGAAAGAAGAATTTTTCTTTTCAATACACATTACAGGGATTTATTCAACTTGATCAGCACTTTTGTTATGTGGAAGCAAGTTGTGTCAAGCTTCAATCTATTCTGAATTTGTTTGTTGTTGTTCTGTGCTTGTTTTTTAATCTAAAGCAAGTGGCTAAAAATAAAGGCAGCTCATATGGAATTATAAGGAAGAAAAGAACATGAAAAATAATTATATTCTTTTATAAAATGATAAAGTCATTCACAATTTTAAAAGTTCAAATTTACTTAAATTGAACTGTAATATCTGAAGCCTTCATATGCAACAAGAAATCAGAGTCAGAAGACACTGAACAACAAAAACATTGCTAAACTTCAAAGTCCTATAACTCCAATCTATTCAATACATTTGAGTCAATGGATTTATCCTACCACCTACATGTAAAATCTCACAGTCTTTCCAAAAGCTCAAATCTAAACTAGGTATCAAAATCAATTGCCTAGTACATCTGAGAATACTCTAGAATGACCTAGGATAGCACTGGATTACTCAAAACCAATCTTAATCTTATGCTTATACTATGAAACCTGAGCCTAAACCAAATTAATTCTCTTGGGTTAAAAGATATAGGTTTATAATATGTATGCCTGATTTTTATACTACAGATAAATAATTTGGGGTTTACCAGATTATTTTGGGGGGATTAGCAAAGGATTACCATATTCTTCAATATGTGAGATCAAATTGCTTATTCCATGCCCACAAAGGGATTTTTATCTGCCATCCACCAAAATGAGACATTTACAGAAAGTACACAGGCATGTTCAAAACTAAAAGATATTTAAATTTATGGCCTTCATTGTAAATGGGAACTATTTATGAAATACTTTTCTATATAACAGAGGTAGACAAAATCTATATTAACTTAATAAATACTTAATAATATACATATAAAGTCAGTCAACATATTGGAAAGTTGTACATTAAGAATAATTGAGCCCTGATGGGTAGCTCAGTTGGTTGGAGCATTGTCCTGTACATCAAAGGTTACTGCTTCAGTTTCCTTTGTTTTTAGTTGTCAGGATAAAAATTTTATGTCATTGTATCATACACTGACTTAATGTGAAAGACTTAAATTTCATTTGCCAAAAGAACAGAAACAAAGATGTAACAGATCAGGTTCACTAAGATTAGATCATTGGAAGTTTCTGTTTTTGCTTTAAGCATTGTGGTCCAGGAAAAGAAAGATCTGGATTTCTCCTGCAATCTTTGAGCAATGCCCTGGAAGATCAGATGGTGCTAGACACAGGTTCAGGATCCCCTTCCTTAACACCCAGAAGTAGAAGGGAAAAAAGTTTCAAAAGAAACTTGAAAATGAAAATTATTGGTGATCTGCCCTCCTTCCTTCTCATTAGTACCTTTATTTTAACCCTTTGTTCTCAGTTATCAGGCTGAAGACTGACCTGATTAACTAAACCAGTGGCAGTCTAAAAACTAGGTGGAAAAGATATGCTTGAGAGACTGCCAAGTGCCTCTCAGGACATAGGATATTGGAAAAAGTGAATAAATGAGAGTTATTCATCTGAGTAATTAGCTAAATAAGTATTTCCAGTTAACAGGTTGAATAAATCTTCAGTGATCATCACAACCTATACTAAAAAGTTCCTAAAAATTTTTAACCAAAGTAACTTAAGGCTTCCAAGAAACTGATTTTAAGTTCCTGGGTAAGCACACCAATAAAAAGATTTTACTATTGACTCACTTGAATATTTCAACCTTCAAAAGTCAGGAGTATAATAATGTAAATCAATGATGATTTAAAATCCATTGTAAAGGTGCTCATTCATTAAAATACTAGATGTTACTCAGCCTTTTATTATCTACCTGGTAAAAAACATCATACTTTTTTTTTTTAATTCTCACCTGAGGATTTTTTTTTTTCATTGTGATTTAGAGAGAGTGAGAGGGAAAGAGGGAGGGGAGAGGAGAGAGGGGAAGAGGTGAGAGGGAGAGAGAAACATCTATGTGAGAGAGACACATTGACTGGTTCCCTCCCACAGGAGCCCCAACCCGGCCAGGGATCAAACCTGCAACCCAGTACATGCCCTTGACAGGGAATCGAACTCAAGATCCTCCGGTGCACAAGCTGACAATCTAACCACTGAGCAACACCAGTCAGGTGCATTATACTTTTAAAACTAAATATAACAATTATACAATTTCCATAGGTGGAAACATAGCTAAATAATTTATTTTAATTTAAAAACCCTAAGAAATATTCTATGAACTTTCTACTCTGCAAAGTCATTTAAGTAATATCCATTGAGGTAAAAGGTCAATGGGCCCCAGTGGAAGAAGAGAACTTTTTCATAAAATGGATAAACCCACTCATACTGACACTAGGAATAAGCTCTGACCATGAAAAGTAGTATTTGAGTTTCAAAAGTGACCCTTTTAATCCTAACTTCAAATAAGATGAGCCTGTTTCCTTTTTATTTTTTTAATATATTTTTACTGATTTCAGAGAGGTAAGGAGAGGGAGAGATAGAAACATCAATCATGAGAGATAATCACTGATTGGCTGACTGCTGTATGCCCCCTACTAGGGATTGAGCCCGCAACCCAAACATGTGCTATTGACCAGAATCGAACCAGAACCCTTCAGTCCACAGGCTGACACTCTATTCACTGATTTAAACCAGATAGGGCGAGCCTATGTCTTCTTAGCCAGTAAAGAAAGTAGTAAAAGTTTGCTAATAAATCTGTGAGAATCTTATAATAATCAAGAAGAGATATGAGCCAAAACCAGTTTGGCTCAGTGGATAGACTCGCACATGTGTCAAACACAAGGCCCGCGGGCCAAATCCGTCCCGCCAGGCCTTGCAATGTGGCCCGCACCGCGCTGTCATCACTGCACTCCGCTGCGTTTCCATCACAATGACAGTTTATGACTGTTCAGTAAACCATTCGGCCCGTGATTTAGGCTGGATTTTAGATTTTGGCCCCTTCTCTGATTGAGTTCGACACCCCTAGGATAGAGCATCGGCCTGCAGACTGAGAGGTCCTGGGTTCGATTCTGGTCAGGGGCATGTACCTGGGTTGTGAGCACACCCCCAGTAGGAGTTGTGCAAGAGGCAGCTGATCGATGATTCTCTCTCATCAATGTTTCTAACTCTCTATCCCTCTCCTTTCCTCTCTGTAAAAAATCAATAATATATATATATATATAGAGGGAGGGGAGGGGAGGGGGGGGGGGGGAGGGGAGGGGAGGGGAGGGGAGGGGAGGGGAGGGGAGGGGAGGGGAGGGGAGGGGAGGGGAGGGGAGGGGAGGGGAGGGGAGGGGAGGGGAGAGGAGAGGAGAGGAGAGGAGAGGAGAGGAGAGGAGAGGAGAAGAGATATGAAATAAAGATGGTAAAAGAATTTTAAAATCAAGAACAAGTGCCCAGCCGGTGTGGTTCAGCAGTTAAGTATTGACTTATGAACCAGGAGACCATGGTTTGATTCCTGGTCAGGGCACATGCTCGGGTAACAGGCTCTATCCCCATAGGGAGTGTGTAGCAGCAGCCAATCCATGATTCTCTCTCATCACTGACATTTCTATTTCTCTATCCCTCTCTCTTCCTCTCTCTGAAATCAATAAAAACTTTTTAAAAAATCAAGAACAATTAAGCCTATAATCAACTATATTTAGTTTATAACTATATTAATTTCTTACCTTGTGGAATTCTCCTCTGAGGAAAATAGATACAATTTTGTTCCTAAAAAAAAATTTCAGGTAGAAAAGTTAAAATGTTAGTTTCAAAACAGAAAAGTATCTCAAAAATGAAAAGTTACAAAATGCTAACATAGTACATACAGACTACTATGACATTTGATATTACCAAAGTTTGAGACTTTAATAATAAAAGTAATTTATTATTTTTATGAAAGTGTCCACAAATATAAAAACTTAAGCAGCTGTTAAGACCAAACAACTGCTCAACCGGTTGCTATGGCAACACACTGACCACTAGGGGGCAGATGCTCAACACAGGAGCTGCCACTTGGCAGTCAGTGCACTTGGCCAGCCAACCTTCCGTGTCACCCCTCCCCCCTCCCTTCCCCCTCCCTCCCCCCCCCGGCTGGCTGGCCCCTATTGCCAGCGATGCTGAGGGACCCCATCTGTGTACAAATTTGTGCACCAGGCCTCTAGTTTATTATAAAACATATTTCTTATCATTACAAAAATATTTATTCTACTATCAAATCATTTTTTTCTAGGTATATAATATGGCACATTTTCATATTCTACAATATTATTACTCAACTGGGTTTACTTTAGTCAAAATTTGATATTCCGAAGGGTACTTTTGGGGTTTAAACTACATGTCATAAAATTCATCCTTTTAATGTATAAAATACAGTGGTTTTTACTATATTCATAAAGTTGTGTAACCTTTACCACTAGTTCCAAGACATTTTCATCACCCCCAATAAAAAACCCTGTACTGAAGCAAACATTTTTCCCCCAGGGAGAAACATCTGAAACAATTTAATTTTAAAAACTATACAAGAAGCATACTCTACAACACTATGATCAAAATTGTTTTCTTTTAAATGTGTAGAACAAAGACTGGTAGGGAAAACAAATATGCTAAAATTCTAAGAGTAGCTATGTTGGATAATGATATTATAGAGACTCTTTTTCATATATTTCCTTTAAAGTTATGATTGTATAATAGTACTTTTATTGTTCTTAAAAGGTACAGCACACCCTCTCCGGTTTGGCTCAGTGGATAGAGTTATCAGCCTGCAGACAAAGAGTCCCAGGTTCGATTCCAGCAAAGGGCATCTACCTTGGTTGCAGACTCCTTCACAGCCCAAGCCCTAGTGCAGGAGGCAACTAATCGATGTGTTTCTCTCACACTGATGTTTCTCTGTCCACTCTCTTGGAAGATCAATGAAAAAAAATATCCTCGGGTGAGGATTTAAAAAAAAAAAAAAGGTACAACACAGACATCATTTTCCAGAGCTATATGCTAAAATTTGTACTATAATATAATCTACACAGGTAAAAAAAAAAAAAAAAAAAAAAAAAGACAAATACAAATTGACACTTTTAAAATATCTCACTGTATTTTTTTTTTTAAGTAAATGTTTTTCAAAGTAGATAAAATAAGTATAAAGTTAAAGAAAAAAAGTTGACCACACTTACTAATCTGGTTGAAAAGCCACAGCTGCATTTTACTTTATGACAAATTGGTTGTTTCATCACTTTGCATCTGGGCATCTACTTCTCCATGGTCATTTCTGAAATAAAGATGCAATAATTAAGAATATATTATAACAGAACATGAAATCTTGAAGAGCAATTATCTAAATTTCAGTGACTACAGAAAACCATCAAAACAGTTCTTGAGCAACCTCCTAATAAAAACAGTGACAGGACTGAGGGTAAGGTGGGATGGATGAAATACAGGCTATGGTCCCATAGGCCCAGAATTCCATACTTATGTTACAATTACTGCATATAGAAATCCACAACCTCTTTTAAATCCTAAGGGTCTTTCACCCACCAGGGTCTTACAATTCCTAAGAATGCCATTTAAAAGAAAAAAGGAAGATGCAGAAGATAAGTCCTAAAATTGCACATTTGAAAACAATAAATTGCTTGTTTGTTATGCTTGTCTATTTCCTCCTCACACTTATAAAGTAAGCTCCAGAGATTTTTGTTAGTTTAATTTACTGATATCTTTCAAGCACGTAAGAAAATGACTGCCTGAGTTAAGTGCCAGTAATAATTACTGAAAAAAATGAATAAATTGATGCTTTAACCTTACAGTATTTCAAAACAGCCAAATGTCAAAATGGCATCTCTTCTACACATACACCACCTTCGCTAATGCCAACTACACCATCTTTGCTGCTTTGTTGTCCAATAAACAAAGTGCCCAATTAAAAGACAAGACCTGATCCCAACTTTCAAGGAACAGAACGAAGGCATGTCACTTTGTAATTCTATTAGTGCAACTTTTGGGAAAGACTACTGAAGGGGAATTGCTGAACATGCAATTGTGCTAAAAATTGTCCAATAGTGTGGGTGAAGGTCTTTTTCTTTTTCAAATATGTATGTTCTTAAAAGTGCTGGTTGTGAAGACAGTTAAGAATATATGAGAAAATCTTTCATACAGAGTGAAAAGTTGACAGGTCTCAAAAATAACCCTCAAGGAAACTAGGACCTCCTTTCTATCTATAGCTCAATCAGTATTCCACAAAATGCTACACTTTTTGTAAAAAATTGGGGGAATGCAAATATTGATACAGATTTGCTTTTTATTCTTTCAAAAAGAAGCAATGGAAAGATAAATTGAAACCATTCTTAAACAGTTATCTATTAGAGAAAAGAGAAAACAGGGTAGAAGGGATAGAAATGGAAGACTTCTCAGAATAAACCTTATTTTGTAATTTTTACTTTGAAGACATATTTTAAAATCCAATGAACATCGAGCTACCATTGATTGAAACATTAAACACATAGGACATCTTTGGATGTTGCTAGGGCACTAACTTATCTGACATTTGATAAAGGGGAATAATCAAGCATTTATCCTGGCTTTCTTATATGAAAAAATACCACAAGGTAATCAAGAGTCAATAACAGAAGCTCCTTTTTATAGGATTCCAAATTTAAATATAAAAAGAATGAGTGGACTGGAAAATCAGCATTTTGCCCAGACAGCATGGCTCAGTGATTGAGCGTCAACCTATGAACCAGGAGGCCACGGATCGATTCCTGGTCAGGGCATATGCCCAGGTAGCAAGCTTGATCCCCAGTGTGAGTTGTGATTCTCTGTTATCGTTGATGTTTCTCTCTCTCCCTCTCCCTTCCCCTATGAAATCAATAAAAATATATTTTTTTAAAGAAAAAAAATCAGCATTTTGTAACCCCTAATAAAATAATAGATATTTAAAAATGATCAATGATTGCTAAAACCATTAAGTAATAGGCTGATGGAAAACTTTATAATGACCCTCCTTTTACAATCTAATTGCCCACAGCTGTTGCTTGAGCTTTCTGTTCAAGCTGAAGTAGAAACCTCATGGTGGCTGGTACCATGGATCTGTCTCTTGCCCAATGGTGTGAGCTGGGCCCTCCCTGGAGAAGAAACCTGAGTCCTCTGAGATATGTGATTAGTGCTGGGATCCGCCAACAGGTGAGGAGATCCCAAGACAGGAGCTGGGCGAGTAGGCGATGGGGGCATAGACTACCAAGGAAACAGAAATGAACCTCAAATCACCCTGCTTGGCCCCAGAGGATGGCTGGTTAGCCAAAGATGGGTAAGATTCCTCAGGGAAGGAACAATCTAAGACAGGCACAGTCGCAGAGGGCCATCAGGAGAGAACGTGGAGATCAACAGAGGTGGGGCATAGACCCTCACCCCACCCCACCCCAACCTTGCAGGGACCTGAACCCTCACCCCTTTGGAGGGAGGTCTCCTGCTCCCATGGCTGCTTCGCTTCCCACGCCCAGCTCAGATCGAGACCCAGGTAACAGAGACTTGGCCAACAGCAGTTGCCCTATATCTAAATCCAGCATAGCACCAGGAATGCTCAAGGCCTATTTAAGAATGTAAATAATCCTTTCCACTAATATTTACAGAGTAAACTAAGATTGTTGTTAGAGTATTAAATTTGACAGTAAAATAGTAATCAAGTTTTCAGGTTAATTTAAATTGGTTCATAGAAATCAGTGAACATCCAAGAAAATTTAAGTGTACTGGACAAAAACCTGTTCCTAAAGTATTAACTAAAATTTTTATTGGCAGTGCATCTCACAGTAAAATTGCTTAACATGAAATGAACTCAAAGCAGTCTTATTTTTGTGCAAAAACTTGAAAAATATAAAGTTATCAAGACTACATTACAAAATTTACAAAAGCATCCATTAAAAAAAAAAAAAGGAGGGATAGTAGGGTAATATCATGTAAGGAAAAATATCCTGTAAGTAAATTACATTTAGAAAATTTTTACTGTAGAAAATTTTCATTTGTAATGCTAACAGCAAGACACCCATGAAAATCACACATGGTGTCAAAACAAGCCAAAGGAAAATCATTTGGGCAAAAATAAAAAGGATCCCAAGTCAATTTTATAGAAAAGATTCCTTTATTAACTTTTGGTCGAGAATATGTTTGTATATTTTCAGAAAACTACTCCAAGACCATGGGGATTCCTGCAACAGTGAGTTGTCAGGTCTGCTCCAACCATGAAGACAAGAGGAGAAACAGCCCAGAGATGGAAGACGCTAACAACGCCTGGCCACCCTAGCAGTTAGCAGCTGTGCGTTGCTACAGGTTGCTCAGGACCAAACTAGAGAGGGTCGGACCTGCATTGCCACCATCTGTCCATCATCCAGATATCATTGCTGGCATGTACATATAAGGAACTGTTTGACATTGAAACTGGGTCTCAGAACTATTGGACACTGAAATTAGGACTCAAATGTGTTTTGTTATTATATGATTATTTCTAGTCTGCAGTTGAAAGATTTTTCAAAGAAAAAAAAAATGGGGAAAAAATAGTTATAAAGAACCATTGAAAAGACTGTCAAACTATAGCGGGAAGGCAAGGGAGGTTGGGGGCCGGGGGCTGTAAGAGATCAACCGAAGGACTTGGATGCATGCATATAAACATAACCAATGGATACAAAACATGAGGGGGAAAGGGGGAAGGTGAAGGCATATGCGGGGGAGTAAGGGAGGCTGGGGGGAGGTCAAGGGGGGAGGGAAAAGGAGACATATGTACTACTATTCGTAATCCTTCAAACAATAAAAAAATTAAATTAAATTTTAAAAAAACAGATCCAGAGGCAAAAAAAAAAAAAAGAGGTCAATTCATTAAGATTCTCAATATTGTAGTACCTAAAAATATTAAACAGTTATTAACAAACAAACAAAAAGAGAAAGCTTTATAATGGATAAATTGACAAAACTTGAATCCAATGATTAATCCTAACATCATAAAAATGGTTCAACCAGATATTATGTGCAGAAGTATTCATCACTATCCATTAAGTATTCATCCTGGGAGCTCTGGTTCCAAATGATATCCACAATATTACCACTCCTATCACCATGGACCAAGCCACCTTATTTCTCACCTGCATTACTATAATGATTTCCTATCTCAACTCCCAGCCTCCCTCCTCTCCCTTGCTCACCTCAACAAAGCAGTCAGATGTTAGTCCTTTTCAATAAAAAGTCAGATCATGCCATTCCTCTGCTCAAAACCCTCTAATTGAGTCCTCCTCACTAGTATAAAAGCCTAAGTCCTTACAAAGGCACAGGACCATGATCTGAAATTTCCCTTCCCTGTCTCTCTAACCTCACTTCCTGCCACTCTCCATGTGGTTCAGTCCATTCTAGCCACATTGGTCTCTTTCCTGTCCATCAACCATGTTCTCAGGGCCTTTGGATTTGCCTTTCCCTCTGCCTATGACACCAGCTATCTCTCTGGCTTATTCCTTCTCCACCTCCCTTAGAACTGTTTTTACAAGTTATCTCAAAGAGATATACCCCAGGATCCCTAGCAAGCCCAAAACCTCTGCATCAGATTTTCCTGTCTGGGAGAGAATATGCTGGGAAAAATCAGCCATAAATTTTGGAGAGGACAATCATCTGAAATATAAAACCATCAACTTCTGTGTCTAAACATCTATAGAACTACTGTCCAAAGAATTTTTAGGGTCCCAACTTCAAAGAATTAATGAAGATATAGCTACTTCAGTGTGATTTTTTGTTTTGTTTTTAAATCTTTATCATAACACTAGAAAGGAGGGTGTTAAAGATTTAAATCAAATGGCTTCCAGTAGAAAAAAATTAGCCAAATAATAGAACTCCCTTTCCTCCCACTCCTTTAAGGATTTCTATAGGGATTACATGATAAAGTTCCAATTAATCTCAGGAAAAATTTAACTACTTATGTATCTGCTACCTCAGGCACCATGACCACCAGAAAGAATCAAAAGAACTCACTAACTCTAACATGACTAGACTAGCTATGACATAGCTGGGATGTTTGAACTTAATTATTTTTCTTTAAATAAACAAACTCCCTCTGGATTAGTAAGGCCTACTCGGTTTTAAACATCTTATGGCTGCCAAGCTTCAGGGTCTTAAGAGAGATAGCCAGGGGACAGAGAAAACAGCAAGTATGACTCAGAGATCACATTTAATAATCTCTGAGACCAAAACAAAGATACCAGTTCTGGCAAGAGTTCTCTAGAATTGCCCCAAAACTGACTTATCCAC